TCTACATTGCTTACCGTCTAGGCATGTAAATCCCAACATTGAACTGAAATCTCCGTTCAAAATATGGCTCCCCTAAGGTAATTGTTTATCTCCTCGCATTAAAGAGTTCCTATAGTCTGTTTACTTAAATCCATTTATACAATAGCCACAGTAGACAGTGGTTCAGAATCACATAAAAGAAAACAGACTATATAGGAACTCTTTAATGCTAGGAGATAAACAATTACGTTAGGGGAGCCATATTTTGAACGGAGATTTCAGTGAATGTTTTTTATGTTGGGATTTACATGCCTAGACGGTAAGCAATGTAGAAATAATAGTGACAGAGAGTTAATTAAACAACTAAATGACTTAATTGAAGCGAACGGCAGTGTCGCCTAGCTGAATAATTCTTGTTATAGTCGGCCGAAGTTGGGGCTTAATTTCCAGACATGAATTATGAAGGACTGTCTCGAGATTCGGGAGGCGTCAGACCAAATATCTAGCCGAGCCGAATCTCCATCGAGATTAATGCAATTTCATCTTATGGTAATAAGTAATGGTATCTAAGGCTAGATTACAGGAAATTCGATCTCTCTAAAAATGTATTTATTTTGATTTTGTTCTTTTATGGAGTAAAAATGTCAGCTTTTTTACAATACTGTTTCGAAGACTTCAAAGAACCTTGAATCATATTGAGATGCATAAAATGAAAATTGTTGAACGAAAAGATTTCAGTTTCCATCTTCCTTTTGGGACTTTTTGAATTAAATAATGATTTTAAGAGTTATTCTTCCTGGCTGAGGATCGGATATCCTTAAGGTTCAATATTTAAAATCTTCAAAAACCCAAATAGATCTATAGATATTTCTACTCAGTGGTGGATCCAGGATTCCTTTAAGGTGGAGGACAACAAGCCAGGTGTCTGGGCACCCAGTGGGTCCAGGACATAGTCCTAATGGGGCTCAGGGGCGAATCCTCCAGAACCTCTTAGGGCCGGTACACACGGTAAGGCTTGCCTTATAAGTATAAAACCTTACGTTTTTGCAGGCCGTACGGCTTTCATGTCCACATGCTAGGGCAAGACTTACAATATTATAAACAACATTTACATATATTCCACGTTTTTTCGGCCTTCAACAGTGCATTCATTCATTAAAGTAGAAGACGATATTACTAGGACGCTGTAATAATTTTACTAACCAATGCATTCACACTTCTTAAATGAGGAAGAGGACAAACAGATGTATTTGTGGATTTCGTCAATTGCTTCTCCAACGCGCTTTTCCGAGCTTACGAAAAAGATTTAGATAATCTGCAATAATTTCAGATCCGTATGGTCTGTCAGGGAAAGATTCGCTTCTGCTCTAAGGAGGTGTCTTCAACACAGAATTTAAATGTATAGTTCTAACATCTCCACTGGTTAATTCTAGGTCAGTGCCAGGATTATGACACAGACCTAGACTTCAATCAAAATTTCATTTATCTGTTAGGTACTGATTAACAATAATGCCGAATCTCAAAATTTGCATAATTATATTAACACGTTTGGCAGTTGTTTGAGATGCAATATGAAAATCTTTTTTGGATTGTATCTCCTCTTCATGATTTCAAAGCAAATAGATTTGTACATTGTAGAGAATTAAGACTTTATTCTTTCATCATCTCAGAATGGGCACAAAATCTAGGTAAAGAACACGAATCGGCACATAGAACTTCGTTGTAGCTTACATCTTACAGTCTTTTTACCATACATGAATTATAAGTTATTTCTACTGATGATTTTTTATTATGCTGTATGTGTCGTATCCCTCCAATAAAGACGATTTTTTTTTAAAATTGAGATTACGTTCTATTTCCACTATGGAAGAGTTATACTTCTTAGTGCGCTCTTTTGTGAAAAAGTCGGAAAATGTACAAATCTCGCGGGATTTCTGGGACAAATGTAACATAAACATGTAAACAATATGTTAAATGTCGATGAACAATTCCTAAGAAAATGCAAATGAAAGATTTTATTGTTGTGGACTTTATAAACATCAAGAGTAGGAATGACAACGATATCAATTTATATCTATTGTTGATTGTATGTATCTATTTATCGTATGCTACATCTAATATTGCAATACACATGCCTCGGAAATGTCGAATTTTTTATTAATGGATGATAAATTTAGGGTTCTCGCTCTCTTACATTTGTCTTTTACTTCTTCTATTCTTTAATTGGAATGACAAATACATTTAACATTTAAAAATTGGATTGAGATTAGCATGATTTGTATTATCCGCAACGCCATACTGTCCCAGTCAGACGACCAAACGCGCCTCTAATTTTGAAGAGTTCACTAATGGAAATATAACGTATTAAACGAGAATTTTCCGTAAAATGACCGAGTCAACAGGAGAATAAGAATCTTGCTTCGAGTTTTGGTACTGTACTCTTACAACGTGTGGAAATTATCGTGGAAATTAATCACGCATTTTGCCCAATGCTCAAGCTCAACACGCAAAAATTTTTGATAAAAATAAGTTTGAAGAATAAATGTATTTATTATGAAAACTTGGGCTGAATTGGTAGTGAGCAATTTTTCATCATGCTAAACGCCATCCTCACAATGTCAAGGTTTTGTGATTTCGGAACTCCACACAAACCCTTGACATAAGTCGTTATTTGAAAGTTGGGTTTGTGGTTACACATGACGTAGTGGTTAATCATAAACTAACCAATGAGAATATATTTTTCAAATCCGTCGTTTTCAAATGGCCCAACTCCACAGCATATCTTTTGTGATTGTTAGGAGGGCGATCTTCCAAAAAGTAATCCCCGATGTTTCATTTAATGTAACTAGTCACAAATCCTACAATATCGACACTTTCCAATTTAAAGACGAGTCATATTTATTTACAAAACTTACCTACAATAAAAGCTGTTTTCTGATTGGTTCCAGTCCTAGACCAAGAACAAATGAAATACATGTAGTAGCTTTTTAGCCCAGCTTTTAAATAGCGACTTGTGTCAAGGGTTTGTGTGGAGTTCCGAAATCACAAAACCTTGACATTGTGAGGATGGCTAAACGCAGAAACAAGGTATTTCTAAAAGAATAGGCAAGGAACCGCAACTCCTACTGGAAAAAATAAGAGGACTATGATTGACGTTAATAAAATCAATCTGAGAAAATTCGCGAACGAATGTAGTATTTTGTAAATAGATGATCGCAAATTTTTTCTTTTTATCCTTCAATTTTTGCATGAAATTTCTTTTATAAGAGGCGAAGGGCCACAACGCCCACCTGAGGCAATCTCTTCCCCTATAACATATTGCCTGAAAAGCTATGACTGATCAAACAGAATTAATCTAAGCTATATGTGGAAATTTTTATATTAATATGATTAATTTTGATCCTGTTGTTCTTGAGAAGATTCCTTAAAGAATTTGTTTTTATATCCCAATGTAAAACTTTGTCGGACCCCTTTAGTAGCTCAAAAAAAAAAAAGCCCCAGAAAATTAAGTACATATGGATAGTTCAAAACCAAAAATGAGATATTGCTTTTCTTGAGATTTCTCCAAAATGTAAACTTTTACCCACCTATTTTGGACTTTTATTGACGGGAGTCAATTTTATTCATGTGTGTATATATAAAAACTGCTTTCCTTTCAAACTTTGCTTTGAAGGTTCAGTGCATCATTTTTTACTGCTAATATCACACTTTCGTTATTAAGACTTGGAAATTATCTTTTTGTTTACTTATTAAATACATCTACATCTCCTGACATGCATCAATAAAGAGAAAATCGTCCATTTCGTTTAATCAAAACAACCAGATTTAATCTATTGTTTCTGGTGAAACGTCTACATGCGGCCTCTCGTTACAATACAGAGGGAGATTTAACCCGGCAGTAATGTTTTACTGATGATAAGTAACGAAGATAAGCTATATATACTATACTTGGCTAGCCAGACCGGCCATGCATGCTAGCAATTTCAGCATGGCTTGTACACGTACGCAACAAGAACATTTCCGTGCACTTCTATGGAGAATGTTTCAAAGACCGGAACCTGTCTTGCAATCTTTCTTATAGCACAATATACATGTAAAACTATTTGTCTTACCTATGATGTCGTATGATAATCTACCTAGGCTAGATAAAGTTTTATTGCTTTTAGCTCACCTGAGCTGAACGCTCAAGTGAGCTTTTCTGATCACATGTCCGTCGTCCGTCTGTCCGTAATCTTTTCATATTTTCGACTTCTTCTTCAGAACCACTGGGCCAATTTCAACCAAACTTGCCACAAAGTATTCTTGGGTAAAGGGAATTCAAGTTTATACAAATGAAGGGCTACATCCTCTTTCAAGAGGAGATAATTAAGAATTAGTGAAAATTTGGTGGTATCTTTTAAAAATCTTATTCTCAAGAACCACCGGGCCAAAAAAGTTGAAACTTATATGAAACCTTCTTTACATAGTGTTAATTCAATTTTCTTCAAATCATCGTCACCCAGGAGTAGGGTGGGGCCACAATGAGGGATCAAAATTTTACATAGGAATATATAGGAAAAAATCTTCACAGAACTTCTCAAGAACAGCAAAGCCATGATTGGTCATATTTATATAGAAGCATCTTCAGGTAGTGTAGATTCAAGTTTGTTCAAATCTTGACCCCAGGGGGTAGGGCGTGGCCACAATGGGCGATCAAAGTTTTACATAGGAATTCATAGGAATAGACATTTATTGACTTGGTTCGAGGGCAACATGCGTTTTGTCGGATCCAAGAAATAAACTGTTTGCCTAGGGCAAGCAGTTTGGTTCAAGGGGTCGACAAAACGCAATCTGCCCGACAATAATTGTTTTGTTATACCTTGTATTTTTTATAAAGACATATCTTGCACTGGCTTACATGTTAGTGATTTTGTTTATCCGCAACTTATGGACGCTGATTATTCATTGGTATAGTTTTATGCTGATAGAGTGATCTTCCCTTTGATGTTCAGTGAAATGAAAATTGTCCGTAAATGTCACAATTTGAAATTGAATAACGTATTTTAATATTATATAACACCACAGTAAAGTGAATGAAAACATTATTTGCGCGTATTTTCCAAATATAAGTGTACAACGGTGATTTCTGCTCTCTTACTGCCTACTTCAATGTCTGAGAACATTTTTCCTGGTGAAATATGGCAGCTAGGTAGCCATGTTGATAATGAACTAGAAAAACACAATATGCACACCATTATACAATTTTCTCGAAATCCAAAACATTTTTCCTCAGTGTTTACAGCTTCCTCAACTCAATCAATTCGTAACGTCATAGCGGTCCAACATCTCACCAACAGGTCCAACATCTCACCTAGCTGTTCAACATCGACATTAACCACTCAGTAAAACATTGGAAATGTTAGACTTGTTGTATATTAGATTTATTTAAGTATAACAATGCTCCGTGTCCACATCGAATGCCCAGATAGTGATTTCATTCTAAAAATAAAATGTTCGTTCGGCTGCGACACACTTTTTGGACATCTTCTTAAGTTCGTAAGATTTCATAGCAAACAATGCGGTCCTATACTGCACAGATATTTATTTCCCAGTCCACAATGGGCATACTGAATTTCACGAGCGCTCTTCCTTGTGAAGTCCGTTCATTTGAATTCCTATATTTATTGATCACGAGACTTGTTCCCCTGTTGTCGACCCGTTTCTGCTTTCTGCATCTCTAATAGTCGATCCGCCCACGTGTGAGTCTGTCGAGAGTGAGTTTCTTTTATATTCACTGTCTGTATTCCCTGATTCACTACTGTGAGTATCTAAATAAAAAGTTGGTTTATTGACGTCCTCACCGCTATCCGTACCTCCGGAAACAGGTGCACTAACAATGAAAGACTGAATTCGGCTCCGTAACACGTATGTCCTTTCAATACATTTTCTTATTATTACTGAACAAAAAACTATGAATCCGAGAGCTAAGATGACAATTATGATTATTATGCAGGCCAGGGAACATCTATTTAAGCTGGAAACAGTATCTGGGACGGCGTCGGCTAAAATTTAAGAGAAAAACAAAACACAGTGTAAGCTCCTATAGTACCTCTCTCTCTCTCTCTCTCTCTCTCTCTCTCGATGTTTGTAAGAAGTTAATCCGAATTTCTATGAATGGAACGCAAAAGAGTTATGATGACAATTAACAATATCAATTAAATTCATTAATTTATGGATATGGACAAAAATGTGAACCAAAACATTGTACAATGAAATCAAAACAAAGAATTGTCGATTATAGACAATTGTAATTATAGACAATGTCGCTTAGAAGTGTGCTTTGTGATTCCAAGAGCACAAATGGTCACCTGGTTATTTTATAGAGCTTATGATTATGCCTCGATCGGCTACTGCCAAAAACAACACATATATATTGTTTTTGGCGAGTGACTGTGTGGGGGATACATCTTCTTACCAATACATTGTAAATATGAGAGATGAAACCTGACGTATTGTTTTCATAAATACTGTAGTTTAACTGCACCAGACTAAATGACATACAAAATCAGCAATAATCGTATAGTAGTTAGTTATATACAAATGACAGTTATTATTTGTGATAACAGAAATAAAGGTAATTCCACCCACCAAATGTTGTGTTTTCGGCTTCTATTTGCTGGGTCAAGGTCATGTTTTCCAAAGTCAGTGTCATTTTATCAACTCACATCATCTGAAGATGAGACAAACGTGTTAGATAAGTACAATATAAGTACAATATAAGTACAATATAAGTACAATATAACTTATCATGTTGATAATATGATTTAAAACGACTGCATTCTTGCAAATCCGATATTTAGCATCACATATTTCAATAATAATACTGCAATACACAAACTATTAAGCTATTAAGCAACTATAAGCATAACCGCAACAAAAATTAATTATGTTACCTTAAAACGAATATTCCACAAAACATTTTCCCCTCAATTTTATATATTATACAGAAATCATACACTAACCTGGGAATGATATAATCTCCCACATAATGTATAATTATGTACGTAGAGTAGCATACTTAGTCATAACCCATGTGTTCTACGTATAAATGTCGTACATGCTCGCATATCAAAAAACAAAAGTGCTGAGATTCCACAATCATATCTCCTCGTTTCTGGAGCTTATGATATGCAATGTAATCTTTTCATCAATTGATCGTGCTTCTCTGTTGTTTTAGAATTGCCACAGGTTGATTGAGATCTTGACCCCTTTCCTTCTATCAGTTACCAGTCCTGCAGGCATCAGGCAGTTTACGAATACATGTACTAGTATTTGTTAACAAGAACACAGATAGACGGATCCAGGGGGAACTTTAAGACTTCGTACTTATAATACATGTATAATGCATTAAGTTGCTTTAGCCTGAATCGGTTAAAGCGTATCTAAAACTTTTGGAATTTACGGCATGCACGGATCTAGAGGGGGGTCAGGATCCCCCTGGATGTGCAGAGGTATTAAAAGTATATATATACCTTTAAAAGTAATATATATTATTAAAAGTAAATATATACTGAAGCAAATAAAAAATGACTTTGGAACTAACCCCCCCCCCCCAAAAAAAAAAACGTGTACCCATCATCACCACCACGAAATAGGTGTTTTTCGTTTGGAAAATTTTTTCTTGTTTTGCTTGTCAAGTAATTTTCTGGATAAGGAAGGGAATTTAGATTTTTTTTAAAAACTTTTTTTTATCTATTATTATTTTTTTTTACCCCCCCCCCCCCGGGAAAAATTTCTGGATCCGCGCCTGTACGGGTGCCTTGTATCTAAGCATTGTATTATTGCGTGCATAGTGAAAAGTTAAAACATTCAGCGTCGTAACTTTTTGTTTTTTATTCTTTAGAAGTACTGCCAGCAATATGAATAATTAATAGTGATAATTAACTTCGCCTTACAACAAGCGCTCTGAAGTGTCTATTACGTAACTTCTCTTAAAGCTATGGTATATAAACGTAATTTTGTTTCAAAACTTTTTTTTTTCATCTTTTTTTATTTTGAGTCATTTCAATAACAAAAATGATATTGCTTAATTTTTTTCCCGTAAACACATTTTACACAAATTACCATTCAATGTACAGTATATATCAGAATGGATATTTAACAGTGCATTCAAGTACACGTATGTATTACTTCATTGTTGTTATGCTTTGAATGATCGATTTTAAGGGATAAATTTTATTTCTCTGGAAAAAATAAAACTGAGAAATACTTGCATTCTTTTTAATTATTTAATAAAAAAATATCTTACACAACAAGCATTGAGCACATAATTATATAAAGGTCAATGAAAATAAAACATCAGAGAAAAGTTACGAAGGCATAAGCTATAGAGAAGTACAAAATCACAACGTCAATCGTGACACGGAGCCGCTTCCCCTGGGATTTAATACACTGCCCTCTGTAGGATGTCCACGTTCCTAGAAAAAGAAAAGTGGAATAAAGTAGATGGTGCTTAATGTAACTTCAATCAAGTTAGCGTCTTTTTGTTTTTAATCCCTTTAAAAATTGATTTTAATTTACTGAACAGCAAATTAATAAAGTTGCACTCTATACATTGCGATAATGCACTATACTGTCTATTGGTATACACTTTACACCACGATCTTGTACATGTACATATACTTCACCATCGTATGGGACACTTTTAAGACGATCTTACACTTCATCGACGTATGGTACACTTGAAAACAAAATCTTACACTTAACCATCGTATGGCACACTTAACAACTTAATCTTAAACTTAACCGACGTATGGTACACATGACAACATAATCTTACACTTTCCCACCTTATGGTACACTTGATAACATAATCTTAAACTTTACGTACCGCCTTATGGTACACTAAACATGATCGAACACTTTGCCATCGTTTGCTTCATTTTATAACATAATCTTACAATTAACCGACGTATAGTATACTAAACAACATAATATTACATCTAACCGACGTATGGTACACTACACAACATAATCTTACACTTAACCGACGTATGGTACACTACACAACATAATCTTGCACTTAACCGACGTATGGTATACTTAAAAACATAATCTTACATCTAACCGACGTATGGTACACTAAACAATATAATTTTACACTTAACCGACGTAGTGTACACTAAACAGCATAATCGTATACTATGGTACACAAAACAACATAATCTTACACTTAACCGACGTATGGTTGACTAAACAACATAATCTTACAGGTAACCGACGTATGGTTGACTAAACAACATAATCTTACACTTAACCGACGTATGGTTGACTTAACAACATATAGTCTTACACTTAACCGGCGTATGATACAATAAAAACATAATCATACACTTAACCCACGTGTGGTTGACTAAAAAAACATAATCTTACACTTAACCGACGTATGGTTCACTAAAACATAATCTTACACTTAACCGACGTTTGGTTGACTAAACAACATAATCTTACACTTAACCGACGTTTGGTTGACTAAACAACATAATCTTACACTTAACCGACGCATGGTTGACTAAACAACATAATCTTACACTTAACCGACGTATGGTTGACTAAACAACATAGTCCTACACTTAACCGACGTATGGTTGACTAAACAACATAATCTTACACTTAACCGGCGTATGGTACACTTAACAGCATAATCTTACTTTTTACCAACATATGGTAGACTTACACTTAACCATTTATTCAAAATCTTTTATTTGAAAAGAAGAACGACAAAAAACGCTGTACAAAATGACAATATTCTTAATTAAAAGTGGCGGCCGCTGTCGTCCATCGTACTTTTAAACATATATTTCAATAAACATTTAAACAAAACTCAATCACTTACCGATCTGAACATGTGAAACTGTTTGTTTGTCTTCTGCAAAATGAAGAAAGGGTAATTTAATTCAGCAAGAGGAGACATGGTTATTTATATACTAAAGTCTGCAAATTTTACTTTAAGGCCTTCGTAAGGTGACGATTTGCTATTTCTTTTCGTCGGCCATTTTTCGTCTTGTGTATTGCGTAAACTTATACATGTACATGCTTACAGTCATCACTCAGATCTTTCAGAAACAGGTTAGTTCGAATTTAACAACATGAAATTTTTAAATTAAGAGAGTGTCTCATTAAAAATGTCAATTGAGCTGGGCTTTTTTTCCTAAATAGACTAACATTTAATTAACAAAATTAAAGTTAAAATATAATCAGGTAAACATGATCTACCGGTAAAATAAACAGAGATGTCCTTCCCATTAGAATCCAGAGTGAGATTTTGTCGGTAGATGACTTGGCTATTCCGTTTAACGTTCAGGCTGTATTCTCTTAAGAATGCCGTTCTGTTGTAAGTCTGACCGGAAGTGATGCTTTGTTTGATTGTAGACTTCCAGACTCTGTGAACCAGATCCAAAAACTTCTGACCCGCGGCATTTGGCTATACATTGTGAACAATCACAGGAATTTATAATACAAGCTTTGCAGTTTTTCTATGTATTGGATCAACTCATAGGTACTTATAGCTATATCTTGGACAAGTCTTTTTTTTTGGATTTATGAAACTTATCATAACAATAAACAATGAATCAAAAACTACTGAAAAATCTTAATATGAATTTTGTTTGTAAATCGTTGGGTGAGAATATTTTTCCTGAGTTGGAAGGGGTAACGCCATCCTATTGCTTCATCCTTTAAAAGTAATGGAAACAAACTTCTGTAGAAGAGAGATGGGATATTTTTCCGAATTCACTCCATATTAGCTTAACAGTAAGCGTTCTATATAAATATATATACACATGTATATCAACAGAAAAAAATGTATCGCTCCTACAAAAATGGAAAGGCATAAAACTTTATTTCGCTTTAATCTACGTGTAAATAAATATTTACAATTCAGTCAATGTATTGCTGTCTATTTTTCAACAATTTACAGTGAAACGAATACAGAATAGTGGGGGGAAAAGGAAAAACTAAAACAAAAGTAAAATAAAAAGCTGTACCTTGAGGTCTGGTCCATCAAACAGATTCTCGTTCGGATGCCACAAAGACTCATTCCAGAAGTGCCACAGAATGACCCCGCCAACAGATGGGTGACTGAAGTACATAGTAAGAAGTTTCTCTAGAGCCCCAGCTTTCTTTACGTCATCAGCTTCATCCACCGTCAGCTCCGTGACCCAGACTTCTAGTCTCGATTCTGACAATTTGTCCAATCTATACTACGTTAGATTAATAAGTACATTACATTAAATGATGTATCTTAGGTATATTTTTTCTTGCAGCTGTGTATAAATAATGACGTGGCAATCCTAAATATTAAATCAAACACATCAGTAAAGTGTCATATCCCATTGTTCAAAATCAATTGGAATAAATTTTCACAAGAATCAATAAGTGCAAAAATAGTATATTATTTACAGTATCATTCCACTTTCGTCAGAAATTTAAGTCCTTCGGTATTTTTTTGCTAATACTCCCATGCGCGGATCTAGAGGGGGATCGGGTGGTTCGGACCCCCCTCTTTGGGATTTTGAGAATTATAAAATTTATTAAGTAAAATAATGAAACAAAATACCTTGGATCCCCCACCTTTCTATGAAACACAGAGCCCATGCAAAATGGTAAGGAAAGTCATGTATCTGAAGAAAATGGACTTGAAAAAAGTGACTTCCACGCCCATAATGATTTTGTCAATGTCTGGTATTTACAGCCGACCCCCCCCCCCCCCCCCTCTTTCTTCCTCCCACGAAATAGGTTTTTCAGATTTGGGCAAGTTGTTTACATTTTTTTTTTTACTTTGTCAAAAAGTTGTAGATTTTTTTTACAAAAAAGATTTTTTCTCTTTTTTTTATGTAAGAAAATTTCAAAATAAACTGCCAAAAATCCATACACTAAAAGATCAAATGATCCGAGTTCCTGTACATCCTATACTTCTACGTCCTGAAGGCGGAATTGTGTGCTCTGTTTGCCATAAAATGGGCAAAATCAAAAGTATACTAGTATAATAATGTGTTCAAAAACCAAAGGACATTACTGATACGTGAAATTTTACCTTTATGACATCCATATCAATGTTAGTGGTATAAAAATGACTCTGTGCCCCAATGCCATGAATAGGTACGTTATCTTTCAAAAATCGCACAGCTTGATTCTTGATAGCCTGTAAAAAAGTTTTAAGCTTTGATTATAAAACACCTATAACATGGCAGGCAATTTTTTTAATTTAGAATTAAACAAACATTTTGTCAGCACTGCTCATGATAAGTCTGTAAAACTTACTGTGGTGAGGTGTGGTTTAGGTATGGGATATGTAGGTCTTACTGTGGTGAGGTCTGGTTTTGGTATGTGATATGTAGGCCCTACTGTGGTGAGGTGTGGTTTTGGTATGTGATATATAGGTCTTACTGTAGTGAGGTCTGGTTAGGTATGGGATATGTAGGTCTTACTGTGGTGAGGTCTGGTTTTGGTATGTGATATGTAGGCCCTACTGTGGTGAGGTGTGGTTTTGGTATGTGATATATAGGTCTTACTGTAGTGAGGTCTGGTTAGGTATGGGATATGTAGGTCTTACTGTGGTGAGGTCTGGTTTTGGTATGTGATATGTAAGTCTTACTGTGGTGATGTCTGGTTTTTGTATGTGATATCTTACTGTGGTGAGGTCTGGTTTTGGTATGTGATATGTAGGTCTTATTGTGGTGAGGTCTGGTTTAGGTATGGGATATGTAGGTCTTACTGTGGTGAGGTGTGGTTTTGGTATGTGATATGTAGGTCTTACTGTGGTGAGGTCTGGTTTAGGTATGGGATATGTAGGTCCTACTGTGGTGATGTCTGGTTTTTGTATGTGATTTCTTACAGTGGTGAGGTCTGGTTTTGGTATGTGATATCTTACTGTGGTGAGGTCTGGTTTTGGTATGTGATAACTCTGTAAGCCTTACTGTGGTGAGGTGTGGTTTTGGTATGTGATATGTAGGTCTTACTGTGGTGAGGTCTGGTTTAGGTATGGGATATGTAGGTCTTACTGTGGTGAGGTGTGGTTTTGGTATGTGATATGTAGGTCTTACTGTGGTGAGGTCTGGTTTTGTATGTGATATGTAGGTCTTACTGTGGTGAGGTGTGGTTTTGGTATGTAATATGTAGGCTTTACTGTAGTGAGGTCTGGTTTTGGTATGTGATATGTAGGCCTTACTGTAGTGAGGTCTGGTTTTGGTATGTGATAAGTGTGTAAGCCTTACTGTGGTGAGGTCTGGTTTTGGTATGTGATTTGTGGGCCTTACTGTGGTAAGGTCTGGTTTTGGTATGTGATATGTGGGCCTTACTGTGGTGAGGTCTGGTTTTGGTATGTGATAAGTGGGCCTTACTGTGGTGAGGTCTGGTTTTGGTATGGGATATGTAGGCTTTACTGTGGTGAGGTCTGGTTTTGGTATGTTATATGTAGGCCTTACTGTAGTGAGGTCTGGTTTTGGTATGTGATAAGTGTGTGAGCCTTACTGTGGTGAGGTCTGGTTTTGGTATATGATATGTAGGCCTTACTGTGGTAAGGTCTGGTTTTGGTATGGGATATGTAGGTCTTACTGTCGTGAGGTCTTGTTTTGGTACATGTGATATGTAGGCCTTACTGTGGTGAGGTGTGGTTTTGGTATGTGATTTGTGGGCCTTACTGTGGTGAGGTGTGGTTTTGGTATGTGATATGTGGGCCTTACTGTGGTGAGGTCTGGTTTTGGTATGTGATTTGTGGGCCTTACTGTGGTAAAGTCTGGTTTTGGTATGTGATATGTGGGCCTTACTGTTGTGAGGTCTGGTTTTGGTATGTGATATGTGGGCCTTACTGTGGTGAGGTCTGGTTTTGGTATGTGATATGTGGGCCTTACTGTGGTGAGGTCTGGTTTTGGTATAATGGAGTAGTCATTCAGGAACAGTTTAGTTTCCGGTTCCTGGGTGTGGATCCACTGGAACATCTTTGGTGTGATATCTGGGTCAGTGGTGTTACGCTCAAACCAGTCACCATGGAGATTTTCGTTGTTAACATCCCAATGAGCAAGTCTGTTGATTTAGAAAGGAATTGTTTTAACAAACTTTGTTTTTTATCTATATTAACTCGTATTCACTTTCAAACTTTTTATAAAGCTCTTTGTGTTTTATTTTTAGTTTGAATTTCTCGTAATAATGTAATAATCTTTGCCTTCATTTACATCTAATAACCTTTAGACAATAAATAGAAATATTTTATTATTATGACTCGCCTTCCTTTTGTGTTGTTTACGACTTCCTGAATGTGTGATTTGATTTCCGCCACCAATTCTGTGGGTGACATACCATACAACCAGGAATTCACAAATTTCTCCACACCCCAAAACATATTGTGACCACGTGACCTCACTCTGTAAATGAAAAAGGTAGACATTATACATCAATTGATGACGGATGACTGGTTTGTTAGAGAAAAATTGAACTAATTTCTCCATTTTTTAAAAGCCATTACCCGTGGGCTTCCAGTACTTCTAAGGCGGCCAATGATAAAGAATAATCACTTTGATCCTATAAAAATGGAAGTTGATTCATATTGAAGTATTTGTGCATTCATCCTCAGTCTTTTCATGTTTTATTGTATAAAATTACATTTTCATTTACCTCAATATCTAAGGATAACAGTCAACTTTAATATTCATTTTCATACCTGTATTCTCTCTATTCCATACCATTTTAATTTGTTTGCTATGACTGCCCAGTTGAAATGTCTGAGCACAAAATCGGTAAAAAACTGGTATTCAGGTACATTAAATTTATCAAGTTTAATGGCTGTTCCAAATGGAAAAGTCCCTTTCCGTTGGATAAGCTAAAAAAATAGATTTTTGTGGTAATTTAGTTGGAATTATTTGAAATATTTTAAGTTAAGCAATAGAAAATGACTAAAATTTATTTTGCTACTACTAAAAAGACTGGTTAGTACTATAAAATCCATGTAAATGTTGTTTCATTTTCTGTGCCTTGGAACAAAGGGTGTTTTGTCTTTATTTAATTGTTTAAATACGATTAGCAAATTTAACCTCGACATCAACTCCCTCAATCCGTGGTCCAGAAAGCCTAAAAAATATCAACAATATCTAAAAGACCACAGCAGCAAAACCACAGCTTCTGACTTTGATTTCAAACTTTTTTTCAGATTAGAAAATAAATATTCACCTGAAACTAATCGGCGCCTTTCGGATACGATTTATTCGGGACTTGGCAAGCTCCATCCAGTTTAGATTTGGTTTTAACCGTTTCATACTTGCAAAATCCTGAATGAAATTTATTTCTTTGCTTTGGATGCTTATATAAATTTGAGCCTCTGTTGCCCCTGAAAGAAATAAGAAATAATTCATGACGAATTTTGACATGCTGTTAAAAGTCATTTAAACTTCCAGTTTCAGATGTTTATTTGAGACGTATTTACCATCAGGTGCCAAGAAGTCTCCACCGATTTCCGTCCAGCCAAACTTAACTTGCTGAAGAGGCATAGTTGCGAGCCTTAAGAATTTTGATGATCCTATTAAAAAAAAAAAGTCAATATCTTGATGGTAGGAAACTTACGTACAATTTAGAAAGCATGGGAATCAAGCGATAGCGACCGAGTCTTGTAGATTGTATATGTAAAGATAGTCAAACTTCTTTATCTCGTAGTTGATGGGACCATGAAATTTCAAGATATCCGAGGATTTGGCATACTGAGGTTAAAATACATGAAGAAGAAATGGTTTGGACTTCTTACTCACTTCGACAAACCCATGGTATTCGAGATATCGACGTGCGAGATACCGAAGTTCAACTATAAAATCGATTGTTAAATAATACAAGAACTTTGTAATTAACTTTGGATTTCTACCGTTGATTTTGACATTGGCTTTGAGATCCAGTTTTGTATAGTCAGTGCCTTTCGGTAGGTTTAGCAGTTTGAAGTAAGTCGTGTAGATATAGTTATAACCTGGTGTAATTGCCACACGCTGCCGAGGGGTAGAGTAAGTCTGTTTCCTGTAATAAGTAAAACAGAAATTATGTCAATTCTTTTATTATAGGAGAAATTGACTGAATAACAAGTATTTGGATTTGTAAACATACTCTTTTTTAATTGTACATGATCTGCATTTCACAAGACAAAGACTTTTTTATGCATGAAAGGTCTCCAGTCGGGTAATTGTGAATAATTGAATGAAGTTCTTGTTTTTCAGGTCTTGAAACAGTTTAGTTTAGTACCTATTTGTGACCAAAACTGAACGGCTTCCCCTATAGGTGTCGTTGCTGTAAGTAGTCATAATGCACTGGGGACAAACCCAGTTTCCGGCAAATGATGTGCTCTCAAAATCAGAATTTTGCAGAAGTTCCGGGTCTAAAGGAATGAAAAGGGGAAAAAAACTTAAAGAAATTTAGCATGTAAAATCTTTTAGGAATAATTTGGAAAACATGCTTTAGTAAATCATCACCTTCTTCGCTTCTTGCCTGTGTATAGGTGCCTTCTTTGTTATCTCTATTGACAAAGCTACTGACAGTAAATGTAACGTTAGTGTCTTGGTGATAAACCTCTGCTACTTTAACCTGCCTACTTTCTTCCCTGTTAAGCCATTCTTGAGTGGAATTGCAATCGCCTGAAAAAAAAAAGACTTAAGACTATACCAAAAAAAAAAAAAAAAAAAAAAAAAATTTCAACTGAACGCAGTAAAACCTGAGGAACGTGCATGATAACCTGCAGCTATCATCCTCAAATTTCAAGAAAATAAACACATTACTTTTATTTCCATTTAGAATACTTTTCATTTCCCCTTCCTGTTCTGTACATTTCTTTTTAAATCAAGGCTTAGCAAGATCCTTTGTCGTCATTTGATTTCATCATGAAGGTATAACTCCGATTTTACTGCCCGTAGCATGGATGTCACTGATGACAAAACATGTTGAGTTCTCGGTAATTTACTAGATTTCTACTTCGCGAATATTCTGGATTGTATTGATTCCCCACCTCCAATAAAATGCCCCTTTAAATATTGTCACATGTTTTTCAAACTGCTTAGCCTATAAACTCTGAGATTATTATGAAGAAAATGCAATTCAAAGAAAAAAACAGAAAAGCACCTGTTTTTGTAATGAGGACGTATGCGTCGTATTCAGCCATGTTTCGAACGTTACTGGTTCCCGTAACCCTTCCAAAGGCAAACTTCTCCAAGCTGTCGTAAAACTGGGCGTAATTAACATCCTGTCTAGTTACAAACCTCGCTCTGAGAGCCAGTCCAACAACCTTTCCATTAGGAATATCTGCATACAGAGAGAATTCTTCATAGATTCCACTGTACTATACCTCCAGGGGCTATATAGTGTCGGAGTGGTATAAGGAGCCAAAAGATCTTGACAAGTCCTTGTGCAACACTCCAAGTCTTGTAGCAAACTACTAGTACATCTTTTTGTCGATCTCTTACATCTTTGTAAATTTTTTAATCTTATCATATATAATTATAAGTGCCTGATAAGAGAGAAAATTACAAAGATACTTAAATATTTTAACTATTTATATAAGGAAACCAATTTCTCGTACCATTTATAATCATTTCAAACATCTTTGCATCTTCAATAGCCGCACATTGATCGCCGCTTCCGGAGTTATTATATCCGGCAGAGTACACCCCTTTAGACTGCTCAAGTACGCCAGTGGACGCATCCCAAACATACATTATAATTCCCTGGAAAGCAGTCGAGTTGCCAGAGATATCATTCTGAAAGATTTAAATTTTCATAGTAAGATTCTATTCGATACAACATTCACTAGATCAGTTGCAATAAAATCGATTAGATATCAATATTAGATTAGAGTCCCTCCAACCGTCTGATCATAGTATACTACTATAAATTTGTTCACGCCAATAATTTATTACATTTTTAAAATAAAATACTGTAATTTATCGATTGAATAAAATTGATATTTTTTCAGACGGTGAAAATAACAACTGAAGTGTTATTGCTTTTTTAATAAGCTCTGCGGAAAGATATCGACAAATGTGGAATCTGGACTACAACCCCCCCCCCCCCCTCTCCTTTTATATTTCTTGTCAAAAATTAGAAAACTGACCTCACCCTTAAACGAATCTCCCCCTCTCCCAATCCGTACACCAATCTCAACACAATGTGCCCCTCCCTCATCCAGTCCCTACATCAATCTTACCACAATGTGTCTCTCCTCTCCCAAACCCCTACACCAATCTAACCACAATGTATTTCTCCCTCTACTAACCTCTACACCAATCTCACCACAATGTATCTCTCTCTCTCTCTCTCTCACACACACACACACACAGTCCCTACACCAATCTCCAAAAGTTTTCTTTTCCTCTCCCAACCCTTACATCAATTTCACCACAATGTGTTTCTTCTTCACTAGATCCCACACCAATCTCACCAAAGAGAGTCTTTTCCTCTCTTACCCTCTATAAACCAATCTCACCACATTGTGTCCCTCCAGCTCCCAAACCCCACACAATCTCACCACAATGGTCTCTCCCTTTCACAACCCCTACACCAATCTCATTTAAGTGTGTCTTTTCCTCTCTCAACCTCTACACCAATCTCACCACAATGCGTATCTTCCTTTCCAATCTCTATACCAATCTCACCACTTGTCCCCCCTCTCCCAATCATTACACATATCTCTCACAGTGTGTCTACAACTCTCAACCCCTACGCCAATCTCACAAAAGTATGTTTCTTCCTCTCCCAGCCCCTGCAACAATCTCACCACAGTGTGTCACTCCCTCTCCCAACCCCTACACTAATTTCGCCACAATGCTATCTCCCGCTCACAACTCCTTCACCAATCTCACCACAATGTGTCTCTCCAGCTCCCAACCCCTACACCAATCTCACCAAAGTGTACCTCTATCTCTATCATAACCCCTACACCAATCTCACCACAACTTGTCACTCCCTCTCCCAACCCCTACACCAATCTCACCAAAGTGTGCCTCTCCCAACCTCTACACCAATCTCACCACAATGTGTTTCTCCCCCTCCCAAACCTTACACCAATCTCACCAAAGTGTGCCTTTCCCTCTCCCAACCCCTACACCAATCTCACCAAAGTGTGCCTCTCCCAGCCTCTACACTAATCTCACCACAATGTGCCTCTCCCCCTCCCAACCCTTACACTAATCTCACCACAATGTGTCACTCCCTCTCCCAACCCCTAAACCAATCTAACCACAATGGGTCTCTTTTTCTTTCAGTCCCTACATCAATCTCACCATAATGTGTCTCTCCCTCTCCCAACCCCTACACCAATCTCACCAAAGTGTGTCACTCCCTCTACCAACCTCTACACCAATCTTACCACAATGTGTCTTTCCTTCACTAAATCTCTACACCAATCTTACCAAATGTTTCTTTTCCTCTCCCAACCCTTACACCAATTTCACCACAATGTGTCTCTACTTCACTAAATTCCTACACTAATCTCACCAAAGAGAGTCTTTTCCTCCCCCACCTTCTACACCAATCTCACCACATTGTGTCCCTTCAGCTCCTAACCATTACACTAATCTCACCACAATGGTCTCTCCCTCTCACAACCCCTACACCAATCTCACCTAAGTGTGTCTTTTCCTCTCCCAACCTCTACACCAACCTCACCACATGCCCCTCCCTCTCCCCATCGCTACACATATCTCCCCCAGTGTGTCTCCCACTCCCAACCTCTACAGCAATCTCACAAAGGTGTGTTTCTCCCTCTCCCAACCCCTACACCAATCTCACCAAAGTGTGCCTCTCCCAACCTCTACACCAATCTCACCACAATGTGTCTCTCCCCCTCCCAACCCTTACACCAATCTTACCATAATGTGTCTCTCCCCCTCCCAACCCCTAAACCAATCTCACCACAATGGGTCTCTTCCTCTTCCAGTCCCTACATCAATCTCACCATAATGTGTCTCTCCCTCTCCCAACCCCTACACCAATTTCACGAGTGTCCCTCCGTCACCCACTCCCGCACCAATCTTTCTGTAACTTCTATTATAATGAATACAGTGTTACAGTAACCACAATAGATCTATTATCTACAGGTAATGTTTTCAGTTTTTATAATTTTTTTTTAAATTGTTAGACCTATATCTAGAATGTATGCAGAAAAAAAACAGATTTTTGTTTTTCTTATGAAATCTAAATAACAGAGGCTGGAAGGTTTACAAATGACCTAACAGATCCACCTAAAAATTGGAACATAATATAATTTTTCTAGCCATTAACTATTATATATCAAAGACAAAATTATGTGCTCCAGCAATACTTGTAAACAGAGCTCTTTTTTTCCTGGAGGATTAAATAGTCTAAAAATGGCCATGAACCTCGAGTGCTTTTAATATTTCATTCATAAACAGGTTATGGGCATTCTTGTAACATATGTAACATAAAAACTTACTACTTTTCAAATCTGTATACAACCATTCTCCACGATAAAATAAAGTCCAGGATTTTGACATCATTTACAGCTGCTTTGTCGATAAAAATGGAACTCGTAAATTTACTTACCTTGTCATTTGTCATTTGCAAAATTATTTTGTTAAAAAAAACTTTCTGATTGTACACACAATTACTCTGAAGCTGGTATTAAAAAGATTTCAAGTTATATCAAAGTGAGTTTCTGATTGACAATATCTACATAAGTATGTGGTTTTTGGTGACCAGGTCTTCCAACAATCTGTTGGAATTCCCATGGGTATTGCACCATTGCACCCCGTTGTTAGCAGACCTATTTTTGTATTCATATGAAGCAGAATTTATTCAAAATCTTATATTTGAGAAAAAGAAATCTCTTGCTATGGCCTTCAACTCGACATTTAGATATATCGACGACGTATTATCAATTAACAATAGTTACTTCCATTCATTTATGTCGACACGATATATCCCGGAGAGCTTGAGGTGAAAGATACTACAGAGTCTGATACATCTGTTTCATATTTGGATATTTTACTAGAAAGAGACGTTAATAGTAATCTAACAACCAAGCTTTATGATAACGTGATGACTTCAACTTTTCAATCGTCAACTTCCCTTACTTATGCAGCAATATACCCTTATCACCTGCAGCTGTAAACGGGGTTTATATCTCTCAGTTGATTCTCTCAGCATGCTGTACGTATGAACAATTTCTAAAACGAGGTAAGTTATTGACAAACAAATTGATGAAACAAGAATATAAACATTCTCTTTTAAAATCTTCATTCCGTAATTTCTATGGTCGATACAATGACCTTGTCAGCAAATACAGTCTATCATTAATTCATATGCTGACTGACTTTGTTAGGCCATTATTTACACACTGAATTGTCGACGGATTTTCCGTTATTTCCCGATCATGACAAGGAGCACACGGCGGGCAGCAGGGGATGCTCACTCCTCCATGGCACCTGATCTCACCTCTGATGTTTTTGGAGGACCGTGTTTGCTCTGCTCCCGATTTGTATTGTTTTAGTAGACTTTGAGCTTGAATACTGTTCGTTATCTCCATATTTCATTGTACATTATTTAAAATTTACTTCTTTCACAGTTGAACAAAAATACCTGCACTATGGATTAGTTTACAGCTTTAAATAAATAAAATCGCAGTAGAAATTACCCGATACCTTGCAATCTGACTGATAAGATTATCAGGCAGTGCCAAATACATACAATCTGATTGGTCATTAAATATTACATAATGGTACGTAATACCTACAACAATATATATATCAGACTTGGGGTAATGCTAAATGTAATGGTAATGCATTGCAATGCATTACTTCAACCCGAATAAACTCTCTGTATCTATGTAGATACATTTTTATTCTATTGAAAGTACAGTTACCGCACATTTAAATTCTCATACTTATTTCAGATCAGATTTAATTTCAAAGAATATTTTAAAGAGTTTATTAAAAAAATATCCTTTAAAAATAATTCCGGTATGAGACACACTAATTAATGTACAAATGTATGTTTTTATCTTATAGGCAGTTGAAAAGTTTGAACTTCCTATGAATAATAAAAAGATACGTAAATTATTTACAGTGTAATAAATGCAAGTAAATTGAAATTAAATTTGAAATATCATTCATCATGTTTAGTTTTGAAGGGGTGGGATGCATGCTTATGAAAATTGTTTCAACGTTTTGTATTTTTATTTTTGAACCTCCCCCCCCCCCCCCAAAAAAAAAGTAATGGTAAAGGTAATGCATTACTTTAAGAAATTAAGTAATGGTACAATGTAATGGTAATTTAATGCTCAAGATTCTTGAAGTAATGGTAATGTAATGCATTATTTTACAATGTAATTCGCCCCAAGCCTTATATATATATATATATATAGATATATATATATATATATATATATATATATATATATATATATATATATATATATATATATATATATATATATATATATATATATATATATATATATATATATATACGTGCAAATGTAATTCTCACATTCTGATTGGTTATCAGACATTATAGACCATATACCTAAAATTTGATTGGTTACCAGACATTTTACACTTGATACCTACTATCTGATTGGATATTTCCATGGCCGTCGTCAGAGAAGCAACATACAGCAAACTCCAAAGAATTGAATCCAGGACCGTATTCTTCGCCATCCTTTGATGTTTAACGTGCTTTCAATCTGAAATTAGTTTAAATAGCTCATTTTAGAAAAAGGGGCATTTGCCTTCATTGTGTCTCAATTCAGTCTGGGTCAGTGCTCAGGTAAATAGGTAGCTTTTAGTGAATGCTGGTGCTATATAATACGAAAAAAGTTAGTTTGAATTGAATAATTGAAAATACATGCACGGATCTAGAGGCGGGTCCGGACCCCCCCCCCCCCTTGGAATATACAGACTGAGTTATTAAATGTATATACTTAAAAAAGCAAAAGAAAAATGACTTTGGACCCCCCCCCCCTTTAAAAAAAACGTGGAACCACCACCACCATCACGAAATATGGTTTTTTTTTCACGTTGGAGAATATACATTACCTTTTCTTTTGCTTTTCAAGAAATTTTTGGGTTGATTTTTTTTTTGGACTGGGGTGACCCCCTCCCCCCCCCCCCCGGGGGAAAAAGTCCTTGATCCGCGCCTGAAATATAGCATGGAAAAAAGTTATGGACAATGTCAACGCTCGCCTTTGCAAATTAATCTGAGATGAAGTTTATTAAGCCTTAGGCATGTTTTTATTGTTCTAGTCAACATCTAAATACATTGTTGTAATTATGTCTATAGCCTAGTATTCGTTTTTAAATAAATCACTGACTTTCTTTCAATGAAAAATTTTATGTACTCTCACAAAAGATATCCAGAGAGCTCTATTATCAGATTATGGTCTCAGGGAAAGTACAATCAACAAAATTGAGCTTAAAATATTATTCCTTTCATATGTACATGTATATATAACATATCTTTCATTTTCGATAGAGAGTTTGTGTTTTAAATAACTACTGAGTATATATATAGTATTTGAAAATAAAACCTCTACCTAATTGCTAATTTCTGATACACTATACACGGCGCACTGGAAGCACGTTTCGAATTCACTTGCAAGCACATGTAAATACGTCCTCTTGATTATAGCGGATATTGACTGCATGAGTGGGGATCGTTTTATTGCTTGAAACAGGACATTATCTCACAAAGGATGAGTTACACCAAAGTGTGACGTTATACGCCATGTATTATATGATGTTTCAACTTTGTACATGTAATATTTAACACAAGTGCTTGGGGACGGGACCCCCCCCCCCCCAACACACCATGTTCCGTACCCCAGGGGTTCTTTGACATTTTTAATTTAAAAAATATTTCTATGACACATTCACAAAGTATTACAACTGAAAATTCCAAAATATAACCTAAAACTAGCCTTTTATTTAAAAATTCACACTCTGAAAACGATCTCTTCTAGTATCAGAGAGTGTGATTTTTTATAAAAGGCTAGTTTTAGGTTATAGTTTGGATTTTTCAGTTGTAATACTTTGTGAATGTGTCATAGAAAAATATTTTATTTCACAAAAAGTCAAAGAACCCTTGGAGGTACGGAACACGGCGGGGGCAAGGGGGGTCTCGTCCTCAAGCACTAGCTGCAATAATGTAGCCCTCTCCAATTTTTTTTTTTTTTTTTTTTTTTTTTTTTTTGGGAGAGGGCTAGCTCTCTCCTGAAAATATCAGATTAAAAAAATCGGAGAGGGCTACATTATTGCAGCTACCAAGCACCTGTGATATTTAAAAAAAAAAATCTACAGAAACCCAGATCTTTACAGAAATTAGAAATTTCCAGTCGCAAATTTTGCTACTTTTTAGGATTTCGATTGCAGTTACATTCAATATTAAAACTGCAGATTTTTGAAAACGCATGCTAAAAGATATTCAAATGGGGTCAAATTTACAGGGGGTCGAATTTGATTACACCGCAAAGAAAGGTGTCGGGGCGCCATCTATATTTATTTAGAGTTATCTATACCAGCGAAGCAAATACCTAAAATAGTGAATTCGCGAGGGTGAAATTTGATATTCTACCCTCTCAGCAGCATGGAAGACAGGCTACTCATGCGTATCCTCAGATCAAATTGTGATCAGCTGCCAAATTCACGAGTAGAAAGAAAATTCGATCCGACCTGAATATTGCATCAATTTTGTAAACAGCTGTCGATGATTGGTGAATGTTCGTGAGAGGTTAAAAAATGTATGTAAATTTTGTTTGTTTGTATTTCATTCCATTGAATTATAGAAATCAACTATCATATATGAAATGTTCTATGTAAATGTACCTTTATCTAATGTTAAACAAGTTGCACACGACAGAAAATAAGAAGAGTGTTACATATTAATATATATATACATTTTTTATAGTCTAAGAAATGATCAGTAAATGCTGTTTGGTAGCAGTATAACATAATATTTTGGTGCACAATGAATTCTATTAGATGTCGGAAGACACAGGTGGCCTGAACCCCCAACAGAAGAGATTATTGGAGGGTTTATACCAGTTTTACAGACAGGGTCAGCTAACTGATGTGACACTGGACGTAGAGGGACAACAGTTTGCCTGCAACAGAAATGTCCTGGCAGCTAGCAGCCCCTTCTTTAAGTATGTTTGTCATGTTTGTTGGATAGAAAAATATGTGGTATTCTTCTTAACACTAACGTTATGTTTTAAAACCCAGTCACATTTCCAAAAATGACTAACGGCCGATGTTTTTTGAGGCAAAAATAGGATTCTTCAGACAACAGTCGGTAGTTCTTCGGGTGTTGTCTTGCCAGATTATGACCTCTTTTTTCATCAGCCGACCAATTTCGGGCCAAGTTATAAATTTTTCTGCTTTGGTGCTGATTCCTTCAATTGAAGCAGTCATTGAATAGTCTGTTGATCATCTTCCGACCATCAGCAGACAGTTTGTCTATGTTGTTTATACTCAATATGTACAAATTTATTTCAGGCCAAGATAAATAAATATTGTGTTTCCTATTCCAACCTGAGAAAAAATAGGGTAGGTAGGTAGGGAACACATTTTATTTTTAATATTTTAATATTTTATTGGCAAGCAGGCTACCATTTTCCCTCAGGGAAATTGCTCTCAAAACATTTCTGATTAATATGTATAGGATATGCATTTTCTGAAACACGGATGTGATAGAGATTAGGATTTCTAATAGTGAAACTGGAAAATTTTACTCCCGGAAAGATATCTGCGGGTAAATTCTCTAGGGTCGGCTCATATATTTTAGGATCAGTCGGGGAACCGGAAACACACAATTTATTTATCTAGGCCTGAAACAATTTTTTAGCCCCCCCCCCCCCCCCCCCAAAAAAACTTCTATCACTTGTGTTTATTGCTTAAGTGTTTTCCAGAGATTTTTTTTCTCAAATTCAGCTACTCAGAGACCATGTAATGTCTGCATCTTATCAATTTTTTCCTCCACATATTTAATTTTAATAGAAAGTAAAACTTTCAGAAATATTCACATGAAGTAAAAATAGTCAACTTCCATAGAAATGATGTGCCATTTCAGCACTCTGATCAGAATCACTATCTAGTTATACCTTTAATTTGACAATATATGCAAGATCATGAGTTTATTTAAATGTATTGCTGTTAATTAAAGAAGAAATGAACATCAAAAATTTGCATCATATATTATAAGGAAATATTTACATCCAATGAATATTATCTCCTTCATTTCTTATGAAAATCATGGTTGTTTATCAATCAGTGAACTCCAATAAGCAAGCCACCTGTATAGATTTCTTCAGCAGTGGCTCTTCCATCAATGAAACACACAATGACGTACATATCAAATATGCAATAGTTAACGTGCTTAAGCCTACTTAATATGAATATTTATATAGACATAAAATATAAACAATAAAATGTCTTTCTTTCTTTGTTAGTATGGAAATTAACGTTGCAGCTATTGCAGAACAAAAAAATTACATAACCCGCTTACAAGATAGTGATTTTATTGTTTAAAACAAATGCGAAATATGAATATGAACTTATAACCCGATTAGATAAAATATTGAGAGGATTCATGTATGAATATTAAATAATAGGGCTGGGTATTGGCTAGAGATTTCATATTGCGATACATTGAGATATTTTTAACTGTATTGCGATACATATTATAATATTTTCAACAAAAATTTAAATGGTATCTTCTTATTATATTAACTTCCTTTTACATGTAGAATGTACATAACTATGATAAATAACCAATTAAAGATATCTTGTTGATTGAATTACAGTTATGCAACTAAATACACCCATACAACAGCTTTTATCTTACTATTTGGCATGATCGCAATTCACAAACTTTTCTGACAACTTTTCTTTGTATTTTATGATAGATTTCCTAACTCCAAGCATTTTGCCGGTATATCAGTATTACAAAAACGTATTGCAATACGATATTTTTTGTCAACATACCGCAATATAACCGGAATATCGGTATTATTGCACAGCCCTATTAAATAAGTTACTTTGTATTTTTACAGAGCCATGTTTACCAGCGATGTAAAAGAAAGCACAGACAATGTGATTCCCATTCATGGTATAACTAAGGATGCTATGGAAACCTTACTGGACTATATATACAGTGGAAGGATAAGACTTACCAATGAAAATGTCCAAAATGTCTTCTCTGCATCGAACTTTTTAGAGATGTTAGAGGTGGTTGATATGTGTATTGACCACATATCTGGAGCTCTTAGTCTATCTAACTGTTTGGATGTCTTCTTCTTTGCTGTCTACAACTACTGTGAAAAGTTAAAACTGAACAGTGGTAATTTTATTCTGAAGAAATTTCCTGAGATGGCAGAGACTGAAGAATTCCTGTCTAAAATTGAGGTGGGGGACCTGATTTGGTTCTTGTCCTCAGATGACATATATGTTGACAGGGAGGAATACATTTTTGAGTACATACTTAAATGGATTGAATTTGACCCAGAATTAAGAAGAAAACATTTTCCCAAACTTTTCAAATGCTTAAGACTACCTCTGATCAATGATGAATATTTTGAGGAGAAAGTTACCAGCCATAAGTTTGTTCAGGAGAACAGTTTCTGTCGTGGACTCCTGACTTCCTTTAGTCTCTTCAAAATACAGCAAGCACACATGCTGGAAGTGGATGAGGATTCACCATTTGCCAATCCAGTACCACGACTTGGAATGTACAACCGGAAACTTATAGTCTACTCAGGAGGAGCTTACTCAGCTGAAGAGCGATCATTTACAGCTTTTGACCCAGTCACAAAAAAGAATTACTATGGGATCAAACCTCACCCATCCTTTGATTTCAAATTTAGAATTGATTACTTTTCATTGGTTACAACAGAAAATAACAGCATTTACTTTATTGGTGGCATATTCTATGAAAGTTACCACTTTTCAGAAACTGGTCAAGCTGTGAAAGATTTCCTTTTGTATGATGAGAAGGAATCCAAGTGGTTGCCACAGAAACCTATGGGAGTGGCTAGATGTCAATTTGCTGCTTGTAACTATGGAGATGAAGTCTATGTCTGTGGTGGAAAATCTTTTCATCCAGTAGGAGAACCTACAGATTCCTTGGAAGTTTTTGATCCAGAAATTAACTTTTGGACAGTCATGGAGCCAATGCCTATGGCCTTATACCAGCATTCAATTTGCTGCCACAACAAAGCCTTGTTTGTGTTTGGTGGTAAGGATGTTGTGGACGAACATGTTGACAATGTATTCCGATTTGACATTCCTGCAAATTCTTGGTGTGTAGTTCGTACCAATATGCTTAAGCCACGGTCAGAACATATGTCACTGCAAGTAAATGGTAAGATCTACATTGTTGGTGGTGGATCCAAGCATTCTAATGCAGTTGAGGTGGAGATTTATGATCCATCGACCAACAGATGGACCTATGGAACTGATTTTGTGGAGGAGAGAAAAATACTGACTGGCTGTGTATTTGATGGTCAAATTTACACCACTGGAGGTAATTAGGATATTTTATTTAAAAAAAGGAATAATAAATGCTTACATGTTAGATGAAGCTCTGTTGTTTTTCTAGGAAGAATTTTTTTTCAGCATGTAATTGCATCGTTAGTATCTTGCATATTTTTACATGTACATTGAACTGAGTGAAGTGTACTTGATCCTTATTTATATACATTACCTGTATACATGCCAGACATTGCCGGGATGGAATCATAAATTTTTCAGCATATATTTTGAAATGATTGAGTCAGAATTAAAATTTGGATAGTTGTAAAGATATCTTATGTAATTTTGTTTTCAAATACTAAGTTTACTTTGTTCTGTGTTAGTGGTTTTATATACAGTATAAAAATATTTTGTCTTGTATTAGGTGTGCGACAGTTCAGCCGACCTAACAAACCGACGAGAACAGTAGAGACAAAGGACTTCTATAGATACAATGTACACCAGAACAAGTGGCAGAAGTTGGTTCGCTTTATACAGTACGCCAACACACAATGCTGTACCGTGGCAATGCTCAACATCAAATTCCTCCATGAAAGTGACTTTATAAGTGTTGGAGAAGGTATTGAACCAAATGAGCATTAAGATTACTGTACAGAGGTATATAAGACAATGTTAGAACATCTTTTAGATATAAGCTAATGTCGGGAGGAGACTTTTAATGCTAATTTGAACATTTATACTGTAAATCCTTTTTATTTGTGAGAACTTTGCATAATTACACGAGATAGTGTGCTTGCAAAAATTTTATTCATGCCTATATTAGTATTCGTAAGGATTATATAGAACAAAAACCATAATTCGTGAAAATTTTGTTTCGCTTATTAAGAGTAAATGAGTATCTCGCAAAAATTTACTGATCTACAGTAATAACCAGATTAGGACATGCATTTATAAATTGAAAATAGGCATGATAAAAATTCATTTGTATAGATTTGCAGATGTGTCAAATTGACTGATAGGTATAGATAATGATCTGACTACAGTATTGTTTCAATGTTTGAAAAATTGTGTTCCCGGAATGAATTGTTAGGGAAGTCCACTTTGTGTTTGTCTTGTTAAACAAGTTCATTTTTAGTTGTCAACCTCTGATAGTGAAGGTATAAGTTTTATATCAATATTATACTAAAAGATTCAAATAATTTTTACATGAATTTCTACGTAAATATTTGTGAGTTTACAGCCGTAGCACATGAAGTGCCTTTATTTCCAAGGTTTCAAATACTCCAGGGTTCTTCTTGTTCTTTGTTGGTCAAATATATATATACATTTTTGCTATTTTAAAGAGAATTTATTAGTATATGTACTCTCTGTTGCGTGCTATTTACAGCTTTCACCATTTATGACTTTGACTGGTACAGTAAAGATTTTTTCAACTTCACTTGAGCCAATTTTAAAGACTAAGTATGTTTCTGATCAAAATTGGTACTTGATCCATCTTTTGATTAAGGAGGTAAGCCACACCAAAATTATTAAATGATGTTTCAAGTATCTCTTTTGACATATGAATTCAGAATGATATATTTTTTCTGAGAAAATGCAAAAATTGTTTGTAGCTCCTTTTTTTACCCGTGATGCTTTGAAGAAAGTTTTGATTGAAGGGAGCATTTTCCAAATGTCTGATTCTTGTTCTTCAAAAGCTGATACTCCATGGTCATAAGTAGTACTATCCAATAGAACACATGCTCACCCTAGCCTGTTGCTTCACTCAGTGGTGCATGTGGCTCTAAATGAGTACTAATTGGTGGACTTCACCTTCACTGCAGTTAATCCAGTTTTACATTTTCAGGTCACCTGAAAAGTTTCAACTTTGTTTGAATCATAGTTTATTGGGCTATAATTTAGGCCAAAGCAGAGTGTTAATATTTTTCTAAAGAATTTTTAAGAATTTTTTTTTATTTTCAAAAAAATAATTAAAAAAAATATCTAAAAAGATATCTGATAAACAACAAGGCCACAAGTACTTTCAAGGCCTCTTCTAGGATTAGGAATGGGCTACAATGGGAGTTTTAATCATCTAGACATTCTTACAATGATGATAACACCAAGGCCAAAATTTTAAACGAATTTCAGTTAATTCTAAATTGTGGTGAAATGCATGTTAAGTTTGAGGAAATAATAAGGGGTGATATGAATAACATTGTTTTGTCAGCCTGTCATGGCACATCTTTTTACCCCATATTGTGTATGTTACTTTTAGATTTTTACTCAGGTTTAGCTCTTTTAAAGAAAAAATGGTATTTATTAGCAAAGATCGATTTATTTTACAAGTGCATATAAACCATATTTAGATTTATTAAGGTTGAATTGGGTATCTCTAGGGTACCTTCTTTGTGTGGTACCTTTGGGTTGCGTGTGATAAAAAGACACGCCCAATTTGTCAGAAAGAAAAATCTCGCTCAGGTTATAGTGTTACGGCCTTGAGACCTAAGTTGCAGTTTTTGTCTTGTTCCCAAGTGGAGTTGGTACCTTTGGGTTGCGTGTGATAAAAAGACACGCCCAATTTGTCAGAAAGAAAAATCTCGCTCAGGTTATAGTGTTACGGCCTTGAGACCTAAGTTGCAGTTTTTGTCTTGTTCCCAAGTGGAGTTGTTTTGAACTGTTTTGCATTTCTAGTCTTACTGAACTCACCTGCTTATTTAGTCTTGTTGCTTTTCCCCCCATCTTGTCTTTGAATATTAAGGTCTGTTGGCCTGTTGTTGCATAATTCCTCCAATCTTTTCTTTGCATGTTAGGATTTGTTGGCCTGTTGTTGCAGAATTTCCCTAATTTCCTTTCATATTGTATATTTGTTGCAGATAATGAGGGAAATATAAATATCTATTCACCAAGGAAAAATCATATTAGAAATCAGAATATGATTTTTCTTTGGTGAAAAGATCTTCATATCTCCTGAACATTCATGCAATAAATTGTTTAATGTACTGAAACACTACCAGGCTACAATATCATCTTGTTTTTTTTTTTTTTACAACATATAACAAGTACTGGGTAATAAAAACAACTAAGATCTATATTTAATTTTGAGGATTTTTTTTTTATCATCACTGATAAATGATCACAAAAATTAAAAACTATGTACATGTATAATAAGTATGGCAGATATACTGCCCCCCCCCCCCCCCCCCCAAGAAAAAATCAAGGAAATATGAAAGGATGACAGGGAAATAGGTAGTTTTAATTCCCTGTCATGTGGCTAGAAGCAGTCACATATGTTCTATATAAAATAATTATTACGAGGTAGAATAATAAAGTTTGTTGGCCTGTTGTTGCAGAATTTCCCTAATCTTCTCTCTGCATATTTAAATTTGTTGGTCAGTTGTCGCAAAATTTCTTGGTAAAATCAGTCTTGTTGCTCTTTGTAGCATGTCTCTTTTACTTGTTGGAAGTATAAGTATTTTTACATCTGCTCCAATTTCCAGTAGCAGTGAAGAACTATTTTCTAACTGCTGGTCTTCTTTTCCAGACACCACATGTACTTTAACCTGCTTGAAAAAGAATTTAAATATATACTTTTTAGCTGTGATATTTGTAGTTCAGATATTTCATATCATTCTTACATTTTTTAATGTCTTAACTGTACAGTTATATTTAGCTAGTGAGACAGTTTTAGTTGTGTGCATTATGAATAAAATGTTTCATACAGACTGAATGTATAGATAGCTTTGAATATGATTGAACATATATACAATGTATATATATATATATATATATATAAATATATATATAAATATATATATATATATAAATATATATATATATATATATATATATATATATATATATATATATATATATATGGTAATGTTTGAATTATCTTTTGAGTGTGAAAATTAATTTCTTCCTTTTGACTATTAATATGCATAAGTTTACTCGTACCATGCATACTATAGTCTGGCATCTTCATGAAAGTTCCCCAAGGTACTGTATTATTAGCCAATTTTTATATGCTTGCGCGAAATAAGTATATCTTATTGTGACTGTATTTTGTTATTTGTTTTCGAGATATCTATTAAATTGATTTTTTTTAAAATTAGTTTGATCATTAACATTGTATTAAAGCTCATGTTTTTTTTTGTTTTGAAAATATTTGCAACTTTGCTTCTTAATTGCTCTCAAATGTTTGCAGCTGTCTTCAAATATTTGTGCCTATCTTTTGATAATTGAATCTGTCTTCAAATGAAGTAAAGAAAGGTATACATTTAATTGAATTAAAAATGTGTCTAAATAAGGTACAGATAGGTGCAGATAATTAAATCTTCTATCTTTAAATAATTAAACCTAGGTTCAAATGAATTACATGTATCTGTAAATGAATGACGCCTATCTTGTATCCAATTCCAGATATGTTAAAATGAATTATACTTTTTTTAAAATCAATCAAAATTGAATTATGCCCTTCTTCAAATCAATAAAAAAAAATTTCAACTGCTGTGAAGGAAAAACTTCAGTCGTACTGTGCTATGAAATATTCAAGAAGTGGTTTACTCAAAAATGGATTCTCAAAAACTCCAAAGATTTGAGGGGAAAATTCAAGAACACTAAACTTTCAAAAATCAATAGCACAAAACATGACTTTTCAATGCTTTATACAACCATTCCTCATGATAAGTTAAAAACTAGGATTTTTTTTATATGGACAACTGTTTCTTTAATAAAAATGGAACTGGTAAATTTTCATATCCCGTGATTGTTATCTACAGAATTGTTAAACGTGATATTTACATCATTACATGTATAATTCTACACACAGTGATGCTGATATAAAAAGAATGCCGGAGTTCCTCATTGACAATTTGTGTACTCGGGGTCATTTGAGACTAGGTCTTCCAACAATCTGTTGGGATTCCGATGAACAGTAAATGTGCTCCTTTATTATCCCATGGCCGTAGGAACGGGGGGGGGGCTGCCCCCCCCCCCCGATAATTTTGCCAATATATAGAATACTATTAATAGAAAACATAGCTACTGTATGCTTGTGCCCCCTCAATAATAACGTCTAATGACCCTCTTTTTTTTCTTTTTTTTTTTTTGCTTGTCAAGGAATTTTGGTAGTTGATAGTGCCCTCCCCCAACTGAAAATGTATGGTTGTGCCCCCTCAAAGTGAAATTGCTTCCTACGGGCCTGTATCCGACCTGTTTTTATATTCATATGAATTTAAGGTAGAATCATTCAAAATCATCTGTGTAGACATGAGAAGAAGGAATCTCTTGCTGTGGCTTTCAATTCAATATTTCAATATATTAACGATCTTTATCAATAATCATGGGTATTTTTCATTTACATGTCAACACCATACATGTATATCCCCATGAACTCAAAATAAAAGATACCGCAGAGTTTGCACATCATCTGCTTCATACTTACTCTTTGGCCAGGGAGCTGGACTACTTCCAAATCCTACGTATTTTCCTCCCTAGCTAGGAGGTAGATTTGGATGTTTCATTGGCTATATACGTCAATGGCCAACTACATGTATAACAACTTAAAAGCAGAGATTTTAAGCACCGCCTTCATAAATACCTGGTCTGTGTACCACTGTCAATCAAGTGCATTAAGGTACATCATTGAGTGCTAGAACTTGATTGACATTTACTTTCTAGTCTATGTGTATACCATGTACACCTTGTTTGGCACTCGTGGTGACCTTCAAATTAACTTGATCCTTTGATATTTACCACACATGGTATAAACAATAGAGAAGCTGTATTACTACATGGAATTTTTTAGCTTGATAATATATACACACACAAACACCTTTAGTATTTGAAAAAATAATGATATTCTTTATGACAATATAATTTTATAATTATAATTATGTATGTGATGGATATTTAAGGATAGAGGATGGGAAACCTTAAGGGTAAGAGCAAAATAAAAGTATAGAAGTTATAAACACCACTGAGTGGCAAGTATCCTAGGGAATTGATGTTAAACTCTGGGTGTAGTAAATCTGAAGAAGATTGAGATACATGTAACTGGTTCTAATCTATCAATGGGAACCCAGGGAGAAACACGGTGCAAGTAGTACCTTACCCAGTTCCCATCTCTAGATAAGAGAAAATTTAAGCACTATGTTATTTACCCTCAGACAGGAGTGTCCTTTACACACTGATTTGTCGACGTAATTTTCCGGACGGTCTTTTTTTCACCACAAAATGATTTTTTACGTTATATTTTGGTTCATTTATCCGGACGATAATTTTTTTAACTGGTCTGTCAAGTCTTGCACGTGAATCTCTTTTACAACAGCTTTATCAGTATTACAGAATGGGTGTGTCCTGTCTACTGCTTAGTCTGCTCAAAGAGCTAGGTTCACTTTATGCATAAAATGGCCCTGTTCTTGTATCAATTAATTGACTATCACCCGCTGTCCCATTTCATATATCAAAATAAAGTAGAGACGTAGCGCTCTCATTTCCTGTAACAAAATTTCTCTTTGAGAATTCAGGTATTTGAAAACAGGCTTTGTGAAAATGCAATGTTCTTGAATTTTGCAGAAAACAGGCATATTTGAATATATTCAGCAAAGAAATAAAATATGAGCACAGCCCTCGATCCAAAAATTAAAACATATTTTTTGATCTTAGGAAACAGACCTTTCATTACGTAATTGCATATTTTGGATCAGAGGTTGTGCTCTATATGAAATATTGAAAAAATACTCCAACTTTTGGACATTTTTAACGGAATTTACAAGATATGGTAAAATGACGTTTTTCATGACGTCATAATGCATTGACTATGGAGAAAATTACGTCATGTTCAATAGATACACGGTCACCAAGGGTCCAAGTGATAAATACTGCATTGTCAACCAATACTGAGCAGTTTCGATTTTTCAGAAACTCACAGGGCCTAAAAAGGCCCTAAGTGGCCCTTGCTCTTTGTTGATCTGGGTGTTAATTGTTGTAAAAACACTGGTCTGGCTGTTTCTTTTTAACCCTTTCGACGCCAAAGCGACATAAATGTTGTTTACTGTATCAACGCCAAACCGACAAATATGTCGTTTTTAGCTCACCTGAGCCGAAGGCTCAAGTGAGCTTTTCTGATCACATTTTGTCCGTCGTCCGTCTGTCCGGCCGTCCGTCTGTCTGTCTGTCCGTCTGTAAACTTTTCACATTTTCGACTTCTTCTCAAGAACCACTGGGCCAAATTCAACCAAACTTGCCACAAAGTATCCTTGGGTGAAGGGGATTCAAGTTTGTTCAAATGAAGGGCCACACCCTCTTGCAAGGGGAGATAATAAGGAATTAGTGAAAAAATAATGGCATCATTTAAAAATCTTCTTCTCAAGAACCACTGGGCCAGGAAAGATGAAACTTATGTGGAAACATCCTCAGGTAGTGTAGATTCAAGTTTGTTCAAATCATGACCCCTGGGGGTAGGGTGGGGACACAATGGGGGATCAAAGTTTTACATAGAAATATATAGGAAAATGTCTTTAAAAATCTTCTTCTCAAGAACAGCAAAGCCATGATTGGTCATATTTATATGGAAACATCCTCAGGTAGTGTAGATTCAAGTTATCTAAATCATGACCCCCGGGGGTAGGGTGGGGCCACAATGGGGGATCCAAGTTTTACATAGAAATATATAGGAAAATATCTTTAAAAATCTTCTTCTCAAGAACAGCAAAGCCATGACTGGTCATATTTATATGGAAGCATCCTCAGGTAGTGTAGATTCAAGTTTGTTCAAATCATGACCCCCGGGGGTAGGGTGGGGCCACAATGGGGGATCAAAGTTTTACATAGAAATATATGGGAAAATATCTTTAAAAATCTTCTTCTCAAGAACAGCAAAGCCATGATTGGTTATATTTATATGGAAGCATCCTCAGGTAGTGTAGATTCAAGTTTTTTAAATCATGACCCTCGGGGGTAGGGTGGGGCCACAATGGGGGATCAAAGTTTTACATAGAAATATATCGGAAAATATCTTTAAAAATCTTCTTCTTAAGAACAGCAAAGCCATGATTGGTCATATTTATATGGAAACATCCTCAGGTAGTGTAGATTCAAATTTGTTCAAATCATGACCCCCTGGGGTAGGGTGGGGACACAATGAGGGATCAAAGTTTTACATAGAAATATATAGGAAAATATCTTTAAAAATCTTCTTCTCAAGAACAGCAAAGCCATGATTGGTCATATTTATATGGAAGCATCCTCAGGTAGTGTAGATTCAAATTTGTTCAAATCATGACCCTCGGGGGTAGGGTGGGGCCACAATGGGGGATCAAAATTTTACATAGAAATATATAGGAAAATATCTTTAAAAACCTTCTTCTCATGATCAGCAAAGCCATGTTGGTCATATTTATATGGAAGTATCTTCCGGTATTGTAGATTCAAGTTCGTTCAAATCATGACCCCCGGGGGTAGGATGGGGCCACAATGGGGGATCAAAATTTTACATAGAAATATATAGGAAAATATCTTTAAAAACCTTCTTCTCATGATCAGCAAAGCCATGATTGGTCATATTTATATGGAAGTATCTTCCGGTATTGTAGATTCAAGTTCGTTCAAATCATGACTCCCGGGGGTAGGATGGGGCCACAATGGGTGATCAAAGTTTACAGAGGAATATATAGGAAAAAATCTTTTTCTCAAGAAAAGAAAAGCCATGATTAGTAAAATTGATATGGAGGCATCCTTGGGTAGTGTAGAATGAAATTTGTTCAAATGAGGGACCCCAGGGGTAGGGTGGGGCCACAATGGGGGATCAAATTTTTACAAATGAATATATGGGGAAAAATCTTCTGCTCAAGAACAGCAGTACCATTTGTTATATTGATATGAAAGCATCATCAGGTAGTTTAAAATTCAATCCCCCCCCCCCATGTTAACTTTTCAATACTAAACTGTTTTTTTTCCCTAGCCAATTTGCTCAGGTGAGCGATGTGGCCCATGGGCCTCTTGTTAATAGATGTTTTACTTTTTCTTTTATTAACCATATATCTTACGTGTAATTAAACATAATGATATTTATATTTTGACACAAGTATAGGTCTTTATTTTTACATAGGTACTGGTCTAAATATGACGTCATATTTCTTACGTTGACGTTAAATAATGACGTCAGTTTAGGAGTACGCTAGTATTGTAAATAAAGTATGGCGCACTTTCAATTAGCAATTTTATGTTTCATTGTTGCCGGAAAGTTTTACACTTATTTTCTCCGGTGCCTACATGCATACATATTTTAGAAAGAGAGAGAGAGGGGGGGGGATACGTGTTCTTTATATTATAAGTGGTTCTTTATTTTGAATGACAATTTATAAAATGTATTGAGCCATTTTATTCCCTAGTTAATCATATTGATATACACGATTACACAGGCTCAGGTGTAGCGTCGATTTCCAAATGATTGTTGGGGGGGGGGGGGGGGGGGGGGCAGAGATAATTGACAAGCAAAAAAAAAATCCGAATAAAAAGCAACCGTGAAAAGTTCAACCTGAAAAAGAGACCCCATCTTTGTTCGGATATAAATACTGATAACATGGGATATTTGAAGCTACTACAACAACAAATGAGGAGGGGATGGGACAAACAGCCCCTATATAAATAATTCTATACTAAATTAACACACAGTTAAACGGAGGATTGGGGCACAAATTTTTGCAAAATAAATAAATAAGTAAATAAATTTTCCTACAAAAGAATTTGAATAATGGATCTTCAAGAGCATTATACTGTTTGCATAAGAAAATAACATTTACATCGTCAGTGATTTTAATTATGCTTGAAAATATGTATGAAAAAGAAGAAACAATAGATTAAACAATAGATTAAGCTGTAAAGAAAGTATAATTGAACTTCTGATAAAAGTTCATATGCGACATCTTTTGAGAATGAATCACTGATCTAAAAGGAAAAAAAAACTTTTACATGTAACAAGTGGTTATGGGTGTCATTCAGATATTATACAAAAAAATGTTCAAAATCATCAACCACGTCACAGCAATCGGAAGGCACAAAGTCAGTCAAGAAATCTATTCATTATGGGAAAGATGAAAATTAAAGCAACAGTGATGTTTTTAGCAAAAGAAAAAAAAACCCAGATACGTGCAAAACTTTGATGACCGTATAATATGTAAGAAACCTTTTTTTTTGTTTTGTTTTGTTTTGTTTTGTTTTTTTTTTTTTTTGTTTTTTTTGTTTTTTTAACTGATTATTGTAATAAATTAGCCCTGCTTGGACGTCGAGTTTCAACTCTGATTTCTCGACCCCCCGGATATCTCGACATTTTCTGAAAGTTCCGTTGACTTGTACATGACCTTTAGGAAAAAGGACACACGCACACCCTTACATACACACCTTTCTACTTTTAGAGAAAAAAAACCCGTTTTAATCCAATCGTGTGGTAACAACCAAAAATACAACTCATGTTCTCTAATTTCAAGATTCCGAGAAAGTGATATTTTTAAAATAATAACTATGAAAATGGCTAACTCGCCTATGAAGAGAGTCGAGTACACCGATGGGGTTTCAAACATTAAATGGATATTGCTTAACTGCATCGCCGTATACCAAAAAATAAATAAATAAATAAATAAATAAACGTGTGTTGGACGTATTATTTAATTATATGTCCATTTTATTGTATCGAAATTTGAAAAGCTAAGATGTCAGGTTAGCTGAGGAAGATGAATAGGTGACCATAATTGTGTAAACACAAGCTTATCTTTTAAAAAGATAGGTGAGCTAGCGCTGTAGCTATCATAAACCACAGAATTAGATATCTGAATTATTGGATTAATTTGCTGAATCGATTAAGGGGACTACCATTTGATTCTGGAAGGGAAGTTGGGTGGGGGGTCTAGCAAAATCTTTCGAGTACTTATTTTCATGCCAGTCAAGGACAGATTATTTATTTTCAAGATGATCAAGGACAGATTATTCATTTTCTTCTTCACTGAAAAAGTTTGACAAAAACAAAAAAAAAAACAAAAAAAAGTTCAAAGAGGGAATGGGGGGGGGGGGTGTTAAGTAGCAATAGTCAGTAACAGATTATTTATTTTCTTGCCGGTCGTGGAAAGACAGTTATTTATTTTCAACTTTTTTGAGGACAGATTATTTATTTCCAAAATCTGCCAGCCCCCCCCCCCCCCTTCAGACTCAAATGGTCGTCCCTAATTACATGTATTAATAGGAAGACACAGTGGTACACTGGAGGTAGTGTTGGGGGGATGTGTCTTAATTCAGAATGGTGAAGGTTTCAGCTATTCAGTGTTTAATACAAAATATTCATCAGACTATTTATAAAAAAGGCTATTGTTGGATTAAATTCGGGATACCCAGAGTCAAAAAACATTACAATAATGAACTTCAAAGCTTTGTTTTGAGTGGGTTTTCACATTGGTAATGGCATGAATCATTAACTGTGCTTTAAGCATTCTGTAGTTTACTGTAATTTCAATTTTAAAGTGAAAAATAAGAGATAAGTAGAACCAATGAACACCTAGTTTAAAAATATTCCAGTGTGGTACTGTTTTGTAGCAATCGCATCCTTTCGGGCCTTTCCGGCAAGCTCGGAAAACATATCCAGGAAGATAGTTAAAAATAGCTAGTTTTTTTAATATTATAATTTTAGAAACTATAACTGATCTGTACAGTTTTGGTATTTACTGTTACCCTTTCTACATTTATTTAAGATTAGACAACAAAACGCGAAACTTCAGATCATCTGTATTTTCAGATTAAAAAACGAAATTGAAATGGTGCAGTTTATCTACAGTAGTATTCCCATAATGGCCTACCATGAAGTCGAGCATACGTATTCCAGTAAAAAAGACTAACGTAGTTGCTAGCGCTCGAGAGCGCTAGCAATAACAATCGGATCATAATTACTCGGGCTTTTCCGTCAAAAAAGGAAAAATGAAAAATTAAAGAATTATAATTATATCAGTGCTGCTGCATTGTATCAATCGCTTCTCGTGTCTTTCCGACAAACTCTGAAAGACTTCCTGTTTTTTTTTTCTCTGAGCTTGCCGGAATTATATAGGAAGGTAGTATACATGGTTAGCTTTAAGGAAAGCTAGGTTTTACCAGTTGATCTCTACAATCTTGGCATTATATGACCCAAATTTTCTTGTACTTTTAATCATAGGTTAGACAATAAATTAAGAAATTCAGAATTAGGATCATATCAATTTTTTATGATAAAACGAAATTATCATCGTACAGTCTATCTTCAGTAGTTTTCCCAGAATGCCCGACCGTAAAGTCGAGCATGCGTATTCCAGAAATATAGACTAACGTAGTTGCTAGCGCTCGAGAGCGCTAGCAATAAATTCAAGTCTCGCGAGATATTCAGTTTCAATTTCAGATTTAATGCAACTGTATTAATTCACTTTGCTCAGAAAAAAGCCCAGCTCCGTTAAATGTGCATAATTATATAGAAAAGAGCCAAGAGCAGTACAAGTATATCTCTTTGATCATTTTTTTTTAATTTTAGAACTTTTCGTAAATCTGAGTTGGAAACCAGACAATTGCTGTAAACATATTAGTAATTAATCTCTCGCGAGATTTTTTAAATTCCAGGAATCCATGCAGAAAGGTCAATATCGGATCAAGGGCAATGCTACAAGGAATTCCTTTTCTCATAGGATTGAAATGACGAGCTTTAATAAGCTTGAATATGACACGTGACTGACGGCTATATTTCTATGTCCAGCAGGTGAAGTCAGATCACGAAGGTCAAATCATTCCGACATCATTAAATGGCAAGATTGAAAATATGCTGCTTACGTCATTTCCATCTGTTAGAGTCAAAACATTCATTTCGATGATAGAGAATGGGTCTGAGAAAACATGGGATTGAAATTCATTTTCAATCCACCTCAGCTACTCTTGTACGCACTGTGTTAATGATAGATCCAGAAGACATATAATGTCAATTTCGGGATAGTCTGACATTTATATAAATCAGGTAGAGTTTTCTGTCCAATGTTTTTGTTTTATGATTGATTGATTATTATTGTTTAAAGCCGATAATAATCAATCAATCATAAAAAAAAACCATTGGACAGAAAACTCTGATTTAAATAAATTTCAAACTATTTCGATATTGATTTAAGAAATAATAAGAGGACGAACCATTTGATTTCGAAGAGGGGGGGGGGGGGCTAGTCCTTAAAAATAAGCAAAAAGTTTTTGAGCTTGGAAAGCCCCCTCCCACTTTTCCCGTTTTTGCTTGTCAACCGTTTTTCTGTGAAGAAGACTGAAATAAGATAAAATCTCTTGACATCCTTGAAATAAATAAACGATGTATTCTGAAGGCATGGACATAAATAAATTTACCCCCCCCCCCCCCCCTTATAATCAAATGGTATAAGATCTCGCTTTGGATGATTACGATTAGCGTTCGTATACATGTGCAGATTATGTCACATTTAGCATTCATATTAAATAAGACTCTACCGACAGTACCGACGTGGCTACTAGGAGAAGTTGATACATTAGACACTGGGAAGTAGAAATAATTAATGTGACCATATAAACACGTTTTTTTTTCAATGACACATGTACTTTTTAAATTTATTTATTTAAACAAGTATTGAGTAGTACTAACTTATATAAAAGTATTTAAACAATAAAACATATTGATATAAAGCAACATTCTTTACTTCTGAAAATGGTATGAAAGGCCGTATCACTAAAATCAGCGTAATTCAGGTATCCGGACGCTTCACATATTCGGACGAATTGACTGGGAACCAAAGCACCGGATAAATGAGGCTCCACTGTAGAGAGATAGGTAGATAGATAGATAGATAGATAGATAGATAGATAGATAGAATCTTTTGTATGATAAGTTTCTTAGAATTACTTTGTTAACCATATAGTTTTAATAATCTAAATAAAATTTTGGATCATCCGCGTGAAATAGCTTAATTGTAGAAAATTAAAATAATATGATATTCAAAATTCAAGAACCCACCACTTCTAATAAAAGAAATCAATGAAGTAAATCTTTTTAACATGTTTGATATTGTTAAACTCCGAAGAATCTTAAGTGTTGAGTTTTTGAATTGCTTCCGATAGCTTTGCACCGGAAGCGATAATGACTTACTATAAAATATATATTTCTTGTAAAATTGATTTTCTGTAAAGACTTATTTTATGTTCAATCACTGTTGTCATTGTAAAAACTTCACTTCTAAGAAAACTTTAAAAAATGAAGAAAAGATATTTACTTAAATATTAATATTAAGTGTTTGTCTAATGTTGCCTGTAGTTGCCTTGTGTTGATTACCCCCCTTAATTACAGTACATCAAAGATACAGTATCAACATTCCCACGTTTTTTACCCCATTGTACCAATGCCTCACTTCTTTGTAAAAGTATCAAGTATTGTATTTATCTAAAATTCAATTATTTGATCAATTTTTTTTCTCTCTCTCTCTGCGGAACGATGATATTTAAAAATGTATTCCATCAGCGATAGCCAACATTTCTTCGTCAGTCGATCAGCACCTACAGCTGTTGAAAATTGTTCAAAATGATTCAAACTTTGAAATTCCTTATCTTGTTAGCCATCATCAGACAAATTTTCACTACGAATTTTCACTATTCTTGGTCAGAAAAGGTCTTGGAAAAACCTACAACGTCCTGTCATCATCTTTCGACGTTTTCACGACCTACTATGTGTCTAGCAGCGTGTCTTAACTCCTTTGCTGTACTGCATGCGGTGGGCTGGGATAAGAAGTCGCTTTCCTGTGTTTGCTGTCCTAGTCCGTTAAGGGACACTGAAGCATCAATGCCGGGGGATTGGCAGACCTACGTCGGTGGTAAGACTATTTCCTAAGAAACTTTTCATACAGTTATTTCCATAATAAAATTAAGAAATGATAAATTTATTCAGTGGATATTAAGGTTATTCAGTGTATTATATAGCGATTTTAGTTGATATATTTGTACTAAAAAAATACATTTTGTAATGATCAGGACATGCCGTGAAAATCTTCCAACTTCACCAAACATAACCAAAATTAGGGAATAGCAAATTTACGGAGAGTACTACTTAATCCGAATTTCGATATGAGAAGAAAAATATCTAATTATAAGAGTTAATCTGATCAGTTTTCATTGCTACATGTGTATGTAAGTATGATGTATAAAATGTAAATACCGGTATAATAAATAAGAATTTCTCAAAACTGAATCCCTCTTGAAACATAGGAATCTTAATCATGTAAATTTTAAAGGAAAAAAAAACATTGTCCAAAAGATGATCGATTTTGAATTATTAATTTTCCTAACTTACAGGATAAAAGTCAACTTAGTCTTAGTTTATAGTACAAAAAATATTTCGGTTCAACTTGTATTACGAAGAGTACCGACATTGAATTGTCAATTAAATAAATACATGAACCATAGAAAATTCTGTAATGACCCTATAAAGTATCATTGTAATTAAGCTTACTACAATAAAGTTTAAGTTTGCTATAGTTTACCTAAGTAAAAATTATTTGACGATAGTGACTGAAAGGTTTTTACCAAAAGTAAAATAGTAAAGTAAAATCAAAGTAAACCAAAGTTTTTACATACTTAAGTGTTTCAAAGTAAGAAGTTTTTGATATAGGGAATCAAAGGTTTTTGCCATGAAATTCAATCTATTTTATGCATTTTCAATTCAAAATGATAATACATGTATGTTATTTTCAAAATCTCATAACTGAAATGGAATTTGAAAAATATTACGGTTTTAAGTCTCCTTAAACGTTCTAGAATAAAGTTTCAAAGTAAATTACCAATGTTTCATAATAATTCAACGTATTAAAATATGTACTATTTTAGTATATATATATATATATATATATATATATATATATATATATATATATATATATATATATATATATATATATATATATATATATATATATATATATATATCCCGATAGTTTACAGTATTTTTTTTTTTCTGGGAGTCTCAAAATTTACTGCAATAAACTGTTTCCTATTTAGTTGGAAAAGCTTTTATATGTCAATAATCTGACTCAATAAATTGTTATTAGGTCAGTCAATTTAATTTGTTCTTTTGTCAGCCAGACCGTTACATAACGTGACTTTAAAGTTTGCTGTGTCAAATTTTGAAAAGAAGAATTCAATCAATACACAAGCATTAAATGCATTTTCACGTGCGATCTAATACAGTTTTAAATTGGATTACACCTTTAATATCCATTTGAAATCTAAAACTGTTCAGGATGTACTGGATGTTTCAACAGCCTTGGGTTGCTTGTACAAACAAAGAAAATATTAAATCGAAGATAGCAAGCTTTGTAAAGTTTGGGGCATTAATATAAAGATCCAACACGGTAATTGTGCAGATTTAGCACACCTGAACGGAAGCTTTTCTAGTCAATGTTATCCTTGGTCTGTCTGTCGGCCAGTAAACTTTTTTTTTTTTTATATATATTTTCGACTACTTCTCCAGAACCATTGACTCAATTTCAAGAAAACTTGCATCCCTGGGAAGAGCGGATTTAAGATTTGAAAATAACGTTTACAACCCGGGGGAAATAATAAGGAAATTGTAAAAATATAATAAAGCTCTTTTTTTCCTCAAAACCATTGGGGGAAAAGTGATAATCTTGTGGAAGTTTTGCTAAATATATTGGAGAAAATCTTTTTTAAACAGCAGGACGTTACCATGATTATTAGTCATATTGAAATGCAAATATCCCTATGTATTTGATCAAGTCCCCTAGAACTAGGACAAAGCTAATGTAACGTGTGTCCAGCCGAGCGGTCTAAATATTCAAGTGGACACGTACCCGGTTACACCCGGGATTTCTGCAGTGCAATAACCTAAATAAATGATCTGTATCTGGTCCACTAGGACACAAACTTAATCAATATATTTACGATGATTATTTAAACAATTTACTCAATCAATATATTTACTATGATTCGCATAACTAATCTTAAAGAAATCAAGGGACAATTTGACTCTGGACCACCTGTCCTACACTAAACCAATGTCCCCGGACAACTGGCCCAACCAAGGGCCCTTGTTACGAACAAGAGGTCTCTAGTCAACTGGCGTCTCCAGCTCACTTTGGCACTAGAGTACAGACTTATTCAGCCTTTATTTCCAATGCCAAAGCTACGGTGATCGACCAGTTGATGCAACCTATACTATAAGGCTTATTCAGCCCTGTAGTAACCTTTATTGCGATTCTGCTAATTCAACGTCCTCACTTATTTCTTTACCCTTACCTGGTAACTACTCTGCAGCTACAGCGAACAAACTCGCAAACAGACTCCAAGGAGACTTCAAATAGACTGACTGAAGCTGCCAACACCCGCTGTATATATAGCATTGGACTAGTCTATTTCATGGTAGGGGAGACAGGTTATTCCATGTCCAAAAAAACCTTAACTACCCTATTAACATAGATTGGTACAACCCTGATTCATCACATCACCCACCCCTTTAAGTCATACGTCCCGTAGGAAAACAACAACAATTTAAGGTATTAAATATTTATGATGTTTTGCTTCTTTAAATGAACAGAATATCTTTCTGAATGTCAAAATGATTTTTTTTACAGCAATTTCTTCTTTTCAATCTTCTTGATTCGTCTTCCCTCTTCGACCCATTTGGTGATTATTTTTACGCTTTCCGTGAAATACACTGGATCAGTCTGACACTCTTTGTGTTCACATGGTTGTTTCTCAGGTGCTGGATTAGAAGGTCTGTTATCTATTAAGGGTGCAACCCTAGCGGGAGCGAAAACTGGTAAAGGTCGAGTGGGTTTCCGGTAGAGTCTACCTTCTTCTCTCTTTGATTCATCACTACACGGGAGTTCCTTCCCACTCTTCTCTTTACTGACTTCATCCTCACTCTCACTTTCACTTATATCCCCTAGAAGCACCGCTCGAAGATCCCCAGGATCCTGTGTGACCCACGATTCAGCATCTGAGACGCAACTTTCACTGGGGCCTTCCGTTTGAAGTACTGAATCTACCTCACCGCCAGTTTCTTCAACAATGTCATGTTGTCTCTTGAGATGCCTTCTCAAATTTTTGGAGGTGGTGGAATTGAAATCACAAAAATTGCAGAACAACAGTTCCTTACTGCATTCGCCAATGTGCTTTGACAATTCTTCATCTTTCATGAAACGGTAAGGACAGAATGGGCACTTCCTGCCTTTGTTGACAGTTATCTTTGTCTTTGGCATTGTAATCTATGAAAGACAAAATATAAACAAAACGTTAAACTATCTGTTTAAAATATCAAAACTCGACACTAACTATATATATTTCTAACACATTATTTAATCTCTGACATAGTCTGACATCCATTTTGGTGGACGTCTTTTCCTTCTTGTGGGATCTGGCGACCACATATCATTTTGATCGTCTGACTCTATCATTGTTGATGACCAAGTATCCCCCACCTGATCACCTGTATCCCCTATGTCATCTTTTTCATCAGAGACTTTATTCTCATCTTCTAGACGTCTCTGATCACCTAGTTTATCAACTTCACTGGAACTTGATTCTCCCCTCAGTAACTGGGGATGTCTTATTCTGATTCTATCTACGTGGACAACTTGCTCTCTACCTTTTGGCCCACAGTTAACCTTGTAGGTCAGATCAGAGCATTTTCCTAAGATTGTATATGGACCATGCCAATATGAGGTCAATTTCGCTGACCTACCTATTTTGCGAACCGGAAAGTACACAAGAACACTATCACCAGGGACAAATTTTTCATAGCTAAGCTTCCGGTCATGATATGTCTTTTGTCGACACATAGCTTGCTTAGTATTTTCTCGTACTACTCTGTGAGCTTCTTCTAAGCGTTCCTGTAATTCCCAAACCCACTGGTTTCTAGGAGTAACTTTTACCTCTCCTGGCAATTCGTACATGAGATCTAGGGGTGTAGATGTCTCTCTACCTAACATTAAAAAGTTGGGTGTATAGCCTGTAGTTTCGTGAACTGCAGAACGATAGGCCTGCATAACATATGGGAGAGATTCATCCCAGTTAGTCTGGTGCTCGTTCACATATGCACTAAGCATGGTTGCAAGGGTTTTATTAAAACGTTCAACCATCCCATCACTTTGTGGGTGATAGGGAGTTGTTCTAGTCTTTTCAATATGAAGTAAGGCACAGAGCTCTTGAAACAAAAGACTTTCATATTGCCTGCCCTGGTCCGAATGAAGTATTCTAGGCACTCCGAATTTAGCAAAGACCTCCTCTACCAATATACGAGCAACCGTTTGTGCTTCCATGTTGGTTGGGCATGGCAAAACTCTCGGTCCACTTGGTAAAGTAGTCAGCAACTACCAAAATATATCGGTTACCTCTCTCCGTCTTTGGCAATTCTCCTAGAATATCCGTGGCCACTCTCTCCATAGGGATTCCAGATTCCACTACCTTCGTGGGAGCTTTCTTTGTAATATTCGGACTTTTTCTCTTTGAACATTTTTCACATCCTGCAACGTATGCTCTTACATCCTTTCGGCTACCTGGCCAATAGTACTTACTTCGCACTCTTTCGAGTGTCTTCTTGTGACCCAGGTGTCCAGCCCCTTTAAAGTCATGACAGAAATATAGTACCTTGCGCCTCTCGCTCCATGGTATTATAGCTTGTAAGATAGGACTTCCCTTTCCAGTAATCCACTTTCTGCACAGCAACCCATCTTTTACCAATAACAAATCCCATTGTCCTACAATATCTCGAACATAAATACTTTTCCCTGCTAGTTCTTCGGATTTTGGTTTTGTCCCATCTTTTAACCATTTGACAATCAATGCAACATCTTCATCG